GTGTGTGTGTGTGTGTGTATGTGTACCTACAGATCTGTGTGTGTGTGTGTGTGTGTACACTACACGTACCTACAGATTTGTGTGTGTACATGTACCTACAGACCTGTGTACGTATGTGCACACATGCCTACCTATCTGTGTGAGTGTGTGTGTGTGTGTGTATGTGTACCTACAGATCTGTGTGTGTGTGTGTGTGCGCACATACCTACAGATCTGTTTGTGTGTGTGTGTGTGTGTGTGTCTACACATACCTACCAATCGCTGGTGTGTGTGCATGTGTACATGTACATACAGATCTCTGTGGTGTACACGTACACATACCTACAGATCTGTGAGTGTACATGTACCTACAGATCTGTATGTGTGCAAGCATGTGTGTACACATTCATACCGATCTTTCTGTGTATGTGTGTACAGATGTCAGTGTGGGTGGTTGTGTGTACAGATCTCTGTGTGAGTACATAGCTGTGTGTGTGGTATGCATACATACAGATCTGAGTCTGAGTTTGTGTGTGTATACAGATGACCGTGTGAGTGGTTGTGTATGTGTACATGTGGGGATGGGTGAAATGTGTGTATATGTACCTACAGTTCTGTGTGTGTACAGATGTCCATGGGGTGGCTGTGTGTGCAGATCTGTGTGTGTGTACACGTACCTACAGTTCTGTGTGTGTGTGTGTCCAGATCTCCGTGTAGGTGTGGTGACTGTGTACAGATCTCTGTGAGGGCAAGTGTGTGTGTGACTTCAGTAACACAATGAGAGGCGTGTGCAGCCTGAGCACAGTGGCCCGACAGGAGAAGTGTGGGACACGCACACACTCACCTTCTCATCAGCTCCTTGATGCCCTGGAGGAGAGAAAGACAGACAGGATTATCCTCTGGAACTACCCGCCACAGGACACGCCATGCTCCCTAGGGGGTGAGATGCCAGCTCTACGGGTCATCCCTTTCCCACCCTCCTGCTCGGCCCCAATTTCCACCCCCCGCCCCCTCCAACCCCTGTTGTCCCCAGTTGCACGTCCTTGAGGTCATACACCGCCCGCCAACCCATCCTACTTCTGCCTCCACAGCCCAGGCCCCTGCCAGTGGACCCAGGAGTCCTGCTCCCACGCCCACTGCACAACCTCCCATCCCGCAGCTGCGCCCTGCGGCACCTCCCGGGCTTGTTCCCATCTCCTTGCCGGGAGAATCCCCTCTCACCCGGAGGAAGGCCACAGGATCTGCCGGGTCCATTTCCGCCTGGACCCTGGACAGGGTCTCGCAACGAGAGGCCACCTCTTCGTCCAGCTCCTTCAGCCTCTCCTCCATCTCCTCCCGGTTCTCCTCCTCCAGGCTCATCATGTCCCCCTTCATGTCCTCCTCCTGCTCCCGCAGGATCTGGTGGAGAGCCTCAAACTCCTCGGAGATGTAGCCCAACAGGTCCTGGGTGCAGGTCTGCAGAGGGCGGAGAACAGGAGGTTGAACCCTCACACACCACCCACGGCGCACGTGCTGCTATATCTCTTTCTTGGCTTCTGTTCATTCCACTCCCATTCATCTGAGGAAGTGGGCGTTGCTCCCGAACGCTCCCGAGTCTCTACATTTTGCTTGGTCTTTAAGGCTGCATCCCCCCAACACTGTCGTCTGAAATAAGAGACGCCATTTGAGCTACACAAATCGTGCCTCTTATTTCGATGCTATTTCGAAATAGCTTACTTCGTCCTCTGGCGCAGTCTACACGGCACCAAATTCCAAAATAACCCACTAGTCCGAAACGTCCCTTGCTCCTCATGAAATGAGATCTACCAGGATGTCAGAATTGTGTGCCCGAAATAGCAGGCTTGCTGTTAAGATGCAGGATCGCTATTTTGGGATACTCCGGTATCGCAAAATAGCGCTGCAGTGTAGACATAACCTAAGGTGCCCCAGAAACACTTTTTAAAATTAAAGTTACCAACGAACACAGTTACCCTTCTGAGATTATTTTAAAATTTGGTGCCTCGGTTTCCCCAAGTGTGCGATGGGGAAAGCAGCTTTCCCTTACTTCACAGGGGATTTAGGAGGGTGAAAATATGAAAATGAGCCGGCTGGGGGAAAAAATTGACAACATTTTTTATTTTAACAGAAAGTTTTGAAATAATAGAAACTGTTAGTGAAACAGGATTGGAGATGAAATATCTCCCAACTCAGGAAAAGTTTGGTGGGGAAGGGGAACTCAAGGGCCATGCCCTATTCATGGAGGGACAGTCTATGGCTCCTAATAATAATAATAATACCTGGCATTTCTCATCCTCAAATCCTAGTAGACTTTTGCAATTTTCATGCTTCTGCAAATCGCACCTTCTCCCTGATCCGGAGTCTTGCTACTGGCTCTTTGTTAACTAGCGCTGGTCACAAGCCAGGTTTGTGAGAAAGGCTGATTTCCAAAGGACGTCAGCGTCATGAGCTCAGTCTGACAGGTAGGGAAACTGAGGCATGGGGTGGGGCAGTGGTATGGGGCCGAGCAGCATGGGTAGCCTAGATCGATGTGCATGCTCCAGCCACTAGATGGAGACAGAGCCCACACTGAAAACAAGGGGTCAAGGCTGACCCCATCTCTGGAGGAGGGGGACGGCGTTCGCTTTACCTCCAGCTCCACTAGGTTCTCCTGCTGGTGGCGTTGAACTTCCGTGGTTGAATTCAGATGCTCCGTGAGGGGGGCCAAAGATGCCGTGAGCTTGTCCTGCACAGCAGAGAAACCCACCCATCAGCAGGGGCTGAGGGAACAGGATCAGACATGTGGGACCACCCAAGACAGCCTCAAATTCACCGCTGCGCTGAGATAGGACCAAGCAAACTCCAACCCTTCAGGTGGGTGTGTGTCCGACATGGTCTTAAAATCCTCCGGAAAGCGAGATCTCACCTCCACCCTGGAAGCCTAATCCCAAGTGTAACTCCCCTGCGAATTAGGAAAGTTTTCCTTCATCTCCCCTGCAGCCTGTCCTACGATCAGCAGTGATGGAGAACAAGAGATCTCCCGGTCCTCGTCATTACCGCCCTCCGCGCTCAGTACCCCACTTTTCTCTAGACTTGATCTCCCCCTGCTCTTTTCACCTTCCTCACAAGCGCAGGTTTCTAACCCTTTATCGACTCGCAAGATGCGAGCTGAAGGCGCACAGCATTGTGAGAGCCAGACGCTCCCTCTGCACCCAGCCACAGTGCTGCTCCAGTTCACCCCACAAATTCTAGCGACGCAAGCACTGGGAGCAGAAGTGTCCTCTGCTGGGAGATCAGCTAAGTTACAACAACCTTGTGGCCACTGAGATGAAGGAGGGCCACTCACCAGCCTCGGTTTCCCCTCTCTGCCCTAGAAAGCCCTTTTCAGCCCCTTTTCAGCAGGGTGACCACCCGGCCTGTTATTCCCTTTGGAATGCACTTGATTTTTCTTTTCCCTCTTCCCAGGTGTAGGACTTTGCCCTTGTCTATATTGATTCTCCTCTTGATATCAGAGCCTTTCTCCAGTGATAGAGCGAAGATTCCTCCCCTAAGGAACTGGGGAGGTAAAGAGACGGGGAGCAGAGCTGAGGGGAGAGTCCAAGCGTGTCCCCACCGATCAAACCCAGGGCCGGCCCTACCATGAGGGGATCTGAGGCGGCTGGCTCAGGTGCAGAACTGGGTGGGGAGTTTGGGGGGCAGGTGTCACTAGGACCCAGAGTGTAGAAAATTGTGTCTGCTGCTGGTGCCTATGTAGGTAGCCGAGCAGCCCCAGGAGAGCAGTAGAACAGGAAGAAGGCAGAACTGAAACTTTTCAAAGTTTCAGCCCAAGGGAGGGGGAAGGGGAGGCGTCTTTTGAGCTCCTCACCTCAGGCTCCAAAACGTTGTGGACCAGCCCTGATCAAACCTCTCCCCAAATCCCTGCCCCAGAGCGGAGAGAGAAACCCAGGCATCCTGGCTCTCACCACTGCACCCCGCTCCCTTCCCAGAGACGCCGGCGCCGCGGCCCTGACCTGGTATTTCTGGACGGCGTTTGCGACGGTCAGGAAGTCGTGGCCCCGGTGCTGGGGCAGGTCCCGGCAGATCACGCAGACGGGCCCCTCGTCCTGGCAGCAGAAGAGTTTGAGGGGTTCCTGGTGCTCGGGGCAAATGGACCATGTGGTCCTCCCTGATCCCGCTGGGGCCCCCTGGTCCAGCTTGAGCAGCCGGGCTTCCTCAGCCAGACTGCGCAGGGCCCAGTTGGTGGCCACGCTGCGCAGGGCGAAGGGGCGCCGGCACTCGGGGCACAGCCCACGCCGCTGCCCCCGGGGGACGCAGGGCTCCAGGCAGGCGGCGCAGAAGCTGTGCCCGCACTCCAGCATGCGGGGCTCCCGGAAGAGGGAGAGGCAGATGGGGCACAGCAGGTCCTCAGCCAGGCTGGACACGTCCTGGTCCGACGCCATCCCGGCCCCGCACTGCGCGAGGGACAGAGACCGGGGGAATGCTGTCTTTGGGTTTGGCTTCCTGCGCACGCGCGTTCATCCACACCCGCCCGAGGAAGGAAAATCCAGGTGCTGCCACCGCCCAAAGTGCAGCATGCTGCCACACGTCGCAGGCAATGAACCAGAAGACCTGCCCCCCAGCTCCTGCTCTAACCACTAACCCACACTGTTACCGACCAGACCTGTGCAATTGGGGAGCCAGGGAGTGACACTCATGGAAAACCCTCCCTCCCCACCGCCCACCCTCCCCCCACCGTTTCCATTGGGCCTTTGCTAGACTCAGACAAAACAATGAAAAAGCCAGGGACGATATACCTAAACTAATTAAGGAAACACCCCAGCCTCATTTGCATTAAAGATGGAACGGACACACATCGGATTGGCACACAGAATGGAGAGCAGCTCTTCCAAAGCAGGAACCGCGCTGGTGTGTGTGTGTGTGTGTATGTGTACCTACAGATCTGTGTGTGTGTGTGTGTGTGTACACTACACGTACCTACAGATTTGTGTGTGTACATGTACCTACAGACCTGTGTACGTATGTGCACACATGCCTACCTATCTGTGTGAGTGTGTGTGTGTGTGTGTATGTGTACCTACAGATCTGTGTGTGTGTGTGTGTGCGCACATACCTACAGATCTGTTTGTGTGTGTGTGTGTGTGTGTGTCTACACATACCTACCAATCGCTGGTGTGTGTGCATGTGTACATGTACATACAGATCTCTGTGGTGTACACGTACACATACCTACAGATCTGTGAGTGTACATGTACCTACAGATCTGTATGTGTGCAAGCATGTGTGTACACATTCATACCGATCTTTCTGTGTATGTGTGTACAGATGTCAGTGTGGGTGGTTGTGTGTACAGATCTCTGTGTGAGTACATAGCTGTGTGTGTGGTATGCATACATACAGATCTGAGTCTGAGTTTGTGTGTGTATACAGATGACCGTGTGAGTGGTTGTGTATGTGTACATGTGGGGATGGGTGAAATGTGTGTATATGTACCTACAGTTCTGTGTGTGTACAGATGTCCATGGGGTGGCTGTGTGTGCAGATCTGTGTGTGTGTACACGTACCTACAGTTCTGTGTGTGTGTGTGTCCAGATCTCCGTGTAGGTGTGGTGACTGTGTACAGATCTCTGTGAGGGCAAGTGTGTGTGTGACTTCAGTAACACAATGAGAGGCGTGTGCAGCCTGAGCACAGTGGCCCGACAGGAGAAGTGTGGGACACGCACACACTCACCTTCTCATCAGCTCCTTGATGCCCTGGAGGAGAGAAAGACAGACAGGATTATCCTCTGGAACTACCCGCCACAGGACACGCCATGCTCCCTAGGGGGTGAGATGCCAGCTCTACGGGTCATCCCTTTCCCACCCTCCTGCTCGGCCCCAATTTCCACCCCCCGCCCCCTCCAACCCCTGTTGTCCCCAGTTGCACGTCCTTGAGGTCATACACCGCCCGCCAACCCATCCTACTTCTGCCTCCACAGCCCAGGCCCCTGCCAGTGGACCCAGGAGTCCTGCTCCCACGCCCACTGCACAACCTCCCATCCCGCAGCTGCGCCCTGCGGCACCTCCCGGGCTTGTTCCCATCTCCTTGCCGGGGGAATCCCCTCTCACCCGGAGGAAGGCCACAGGATCTGCCGGGTCCATTTCCGCCTGGACCCTGGACAGGGTCTCGCAACGAGAGGCCACCTCTTCGTCCAGCTCCTTCAGCCTCTCCTCCATCTCCTCCCGGTTCTCCTCCTCCAGGCTCGTCACGGCCTCCTTCATGCCCTCCTCCTGCTCCCGCAGGATCTGGTGGAGAGCCTCAAACTCCTCGGAGATGTAGCCCAAGAGGTCCTGGGCGCAGCTCTGCAGAGGGCGGAGAAACCAACGGGAGGTTCAACCCCACACACGCCACCCCCGGCGCACGTGCGGGAGAAAGTTCATTCCTTCTGCTGTTATCTCTCTCTCTTGGCGTCTGTTCGTTCCACTCCCATTCATCTGAGGAAGTGGGCGTTGCTCCCGAACGCTCCCGCGTCTCTATATTTTGCTTGGTCTTTCAGGCTACATCCACCCAGCACTGTCGTCTGAAATAAGAGACGCAATTTGGGCTACGCAAATTTCAGGCTACATCCACCCAGCACTGTCGTTCGAAATAAGAGATGCAATTTAGGCTACGCAAATCGTGCCTCTTATTTCACTGCTATTTCGAAATAGCTTATTTCGTCCTCTGGTGCGGTCTACCCAGCACCAAATTCCGAAAGAACCTGCTATAGCAAAATGTCCCTTGCTCCTCGTGCAATGAGATTTACCGCGATGTCAGATTTGCATGCCCGAAATAACAGGCTTGCTGTTAAGATGCAGGATAGCTATTTTGGGATACTCCGGTATCCCGAAATACCGCTGCAGTGTAGACATAACCTAAGGTGCCCCAGAAACACTTTTTCTTATTAAAGTTACCGACTAATATGGTTACCCCTTTGAGGATTTTTTTTTTTAGTTTTGTGCCTCGGTTTCCCCAATTGTGCGATGGGGAGAGAAGCTTTCCCTTATTTCACAGGGGATTTGGGAAGGTGAGAATATGAAAATGAAATTAATGGGTAGCAAATGAAATTAATGGGTAGCCGGTTTAAAATTAATAAGCAAAAGTTCTTCACACAGCATGTAGTCAATCTGTGGAACTCCTTGCCAGAGGAAATTATGAAGGCTAGGACTATAACAGAGTTTAAAGAGAAGCTAGATAATTTCATAGAGGTTAGGTCCATAAAAGGCTATTAGCCAGGGGATAGAAATGGTGTCCTTGGCCTCTGTTTGTCAGAGACTGGAGATGGATGGCACAAGACAAATCGCTTGATCATTGTCTTCGGTCCACCCTCTCTGGGGTACCTGGTGCTGGCCACTGTCGGCAGACAGGCTACTGGGCTAGATGGACCTTTGGTCTGACCCAGTCCAGCCGTTCTTATGTTCTTATGTTCTTAAAATGAGCAGGCTGGGAAAACATTTCGAGAAAAACTTTTACTTTAACAGAAAGTTCTGAAATAATAGAAACTGTTTGAGACAGGTTTGGAGATGAGAAATCTCCCAAACCAGGAAAAGTTTACCAGGGAAGGGGAACTCAAGGGCCAGGTCCTATTCGCGGAGGGACAGTCCATGGTTCCCAACAGTAATAATACCTGGCATTTCTCATCCTCAGATCCTAGTAGCCTTTTGCAAGTTGTCTTGCTTCCGCAAATCTCAGCTTCTCCTCCCTGATCTTGAGTCTTGCTACCGGCCCTTTGTTAACTAGCACAAACCAGGCTTGTGCGAAAGGCCGATTTCCAAAGGACGTCAGCGTCATAAGCTCAGTCTGACAGGTAGGGAAACCGAGGCACAGAGTGGGGCAGTGGGATGGGGCTGAGCAGCATGGCTCACTTAGACCGATGTGCGGTCCAGCCACTAGATGGAGACAGAGCCCACACTGAAAACAAGGGGTCAAGGCTGACCCCATCTCTGGAGGAGGGGGACGGCGTTCGCTTTACCTCCAGCTCCACTAGGTTCTCCTGCTGGTGGCGTTGAACTTCCGTGGTTGAATTCAGATGCTCCGTGAGGGGGGCCAAAGATGCCGTGAGCTTGTCCTGCACAGCAGAGAAACCCACCCATCAGCAGGGGCTGAGGGAACAGGATCAGACATGCGGGATCGCCCGAGACAGCCTCACATCCACCCCCTGCACTGAGACGACATGGCCTTAAAATCCACCGGCGAGGGAGACCCCACACCCTCCCTGGAAGCCTGGCCCTGAGTGTAACTCCTCGGTGAGTTAGAAACGTTTTCCTTCATCTCTAACCTCCATCTCCCCTACGGCCGATCACGGCCTGTCCCACGGTCAGCGGCCACGGAGAACAACGGATCCCCCAGTCCTCGTCATAACCGCTCTCCGCACACCGGACGCCGTACCCCACTTTTCTCTAGACTTGATCTCCCCCTGCTTTTTTCACCTTCCCTCACCAGCGCAGGTTTCTAACCCTTGATCGACTTTCTCTGATTTGTCCCAAAAGTGCCTCACAGAGCCGCCGGGTGTTAGAGACCCCTTGAACACACCCCAGGAAGAGTTTTGCCTCTTTTTCTGCAGCCCTCAGCAGGTCGACGACCCCTCGATTTGTCACCCACTCGAGCCGCAGAAGGCGCCCCCGGCCCTTCAGGTTTCTGTGTGTGGCCTGCGAGACATTTTGTTACCGCCGCCCACGGGCAAGGCTGCCAGATTCCACTGAGTTCCAGCCACACTGGTTTTTTTTCCCTACTGGAAGTGCTGTTTTTGTGACGGTCCTGCCGGAAAAAGCACTGCCTACCGGTATCACCAAAGTGACACACACGTAAAGCCGGTGCCCGTGAAGCAAGGAGCGTGCTGAGGTCACACAGCATTGTGAGAGACGGGCGCTCCCTCGGCACCCAGCCACAGTGCTGCTCCAGTTCACCCCACAAATTCTAGCGACGCAAGCACAGTGAGCAAAAAGTGCCCTCTCCCGGGAGACCGGCTTGGTTACGACAACCTTGCGGCCACTGAGATGAAGGAGGGCCACTCACCAGCCTCGGTTTCCCCTCGCTGCACTAGAAAGCCCTTTTCAGCCCCTTTTCAGCAGGGTGACCACCCGGCCTGTTATTCCCTTTGGAATGCACTTGATTTTTCTTTTCCCTCTTCCCAGGTGTAGGACTTTGCCCTTGTCTATATTGATTCTCCTCTTGATATCAGAGCCTTTCTCCAGTGATAGAGCGAAGATTCCTCCCCTAAGGAACTGGGGAGGTAAAGAGACGGGGAGCAGAGCTGAGGGGAGAGTCCAAGCGTGTCCCCACCGATCAAACCCAGGGCCGGCCCTACCATGAGGGGATCTGAGGCGGCTGGCTCAGGTGCAGAACTGGGTGGGGAGTTTGGGGGGCAGGTGTCACTAGGACCCAGAGTGTAGAAAATTGTGTCTGCTGCTGGTGCCTATGTAGGTAGCCGAGCAGCCCCAGGAGAGCAGTAGAACAGGAAGAAGGCAGAACTGAAACTTTTCAAAGTTTCAGCCCAAGGGAGGGGGAAGGGGAGGCGTCTTTTGAGCTCCTCACCTCAGGCTCCAAAACGTTGTGGACCAGCCCTGATCAAACCTCTCCCCAAATCCCTGCCCCAGAGCGGAGAGAGAAACCCAGGCATCCTGGCTCTCACCACTGCACCCCGCTCCCTTCCCAGAGACGCCGGCGCCGCGGCCCTGACCTGGTATTTCTGGACGGCGTTTGCGACGGTCAGGAAGTCGTGGCCCCGGTGCTGGGGCAGGTCCCGGCAGATCACGCAGACGGGCCCCTCGTCCTGGCAGCAGAAGAGTTTGAGGGGTTCCTGGTGTTCAGGGCAAATGGACCATGTGGTCCTCCCTGATCCCGCTGGGGCCCCCTGGTCCAGCTTGAGCAGCCGGGCTTCCTCAGCCAGACTGCGCAGGGCCCAGTTGGTGGCCACGCTGCGCAGGGCGAAGGGGCGCCGGCATTCGGGGCACAGCCCACGCCGCTGCCCCCGGGGGACGCAGGGCTCCAGGCAGGCGGCGCAGAAGCTGTGCCCGCACTCCAGCATGCGGGGCTCCCGGAAGAGGGAGAGGCAGATGGGGCACAGCAGGTCCTCAGCCAGGCTGGACACGTCCAGGGCCGACGCCATCCCGGCCCCGCACCCTGCCAGGGCCGGAGACCGGGGCGCGCGGGCTTTTGCTTTCGCTTTCTGCGCACACATCCGCCCACGCCCGCCCCCGGGAGGAAAAGCCAGCGGC